CGGGGGGGCCGCGCCCCCGGCCCGGGACCCGCGTTCCGGCGGGCGGGTCGGTAGCGCTGCCAACGCGGGGTGGGGGCCGCCGCCCCGCGGGCTCGCTCGGCGGCCGCGTCCCCGCACGGGTCCGTAGGGATCGGCGGTGGCTGTGGGGGCTGATCTTCACGTGATGGAGCCAGGGGTGTGTGTGGCTGGCGTTGGGTCTGGCAGCAAGATCTTCCCAACTAGGTTTCCTCTCCCCTTTTGTTTTCCGGTGTTTAAAAAAGAGCTGGTGGCACATCGGTGACTTTACTGCCTGGGATCTTACCAGGGGCTCCGTTTTCCAAGCGTGCCACTGTTAATCTTGGATTAATTCCATCATTTAAGCAAGCATCCTCCAGACATGTTATTTTGATTTGTTCTTTTTTTCTTTTTTTTTTTCTTTTTTTTATCACCGTTTATAAACCGCTGTTTATTTTCTGTGGCAGAGTGGGTTCTAATGCATGGGAACACAGGCTCCTAATGTATAGGAACACACGCTTCTGAAGTGAAATGTACTTTCCTCTAGTGTCATCTGAATCCTAAAGGTTATTCTGGGGGAGAGGATTAAAGGTTTTAAGGCTCACAAATAAATAGAAATAGTTTTTGTAGGTTTAGAAACTTAATTTCCTCATATGTTCCCGTGTAGATATGGATTTATCTATCCATTGAACGTGCATTCCTAAGTAAAAGAACAAACTGCTTAGCCTTGTGGGTTTTTTCCCCTTAAAATTGGTTTCTGTGATAGTATATTTGTGTAAAATACTTAAAGTTGTGCATTTCCCCTAATTATGTTAATGTCATCATTTTATTTTTGACTTTGCTTACTGTTTTGAATAGTCCGTTTTCTTCCTTTGGGATTTAGTTTATTTCATACCTTTGTATGTTTATGTCTAATAGGGATGCTTCTTTTTTCTTTTTCCTCCCTAGGTGTTGGTGACTTCAGTCATTTAGGGGTTTAGTTCTGAGGAAGTAGAGACACAAGGATTGAGTTTCTTTTACATAGAAAGCTACAGCTCTTCACCAGTACTCTTTTTACTCCTTCCCATCCTTCCCTGCTCCGTAGGGGAAAACAATTTGGGAATTATTTTAAACATTCATTTACTCCCCCTTCCCTCCCTCAGAAATATACCCTGGTCCCAGAGGCATCCGATAGACAGTGCCTGGCAGGTCCTTGCTCTGGGAGCTTCAGTAGTACCCTTCCCTCCTTTGGGGTGTAGTGCAGGGAGGCATCCAGAAGACTTCTGTGCCAGCCTTTCTGGTTAGTAGAGGATCCAGGAAAAGGGGTACCTAGCAAGACACGTGACCTCCTTAAGGGAGCCAGAACTGAAGCAGCACTTGGCACGCTGAAGGAAACACCCATCTTTAGTGTCTTTTTCGTCTTCCACTCCTTCCTCACCAAATTTCTGGTAAGTCTCTTCAGCCCATTCATTCACGCAGTGCATGTTTCCCTTCCCCCACTCCAGGCGCTGGGAGAGGCATGCACAGAGACTGTAGGGTGGGGGAAGGGAGGAGGGAAAACTGGCTGTGTACACGCGGATCGGGGAGGAGAGGGGGTATTGTACCACACTGCGGGGGAACCTGGCGCAGGTGGAAAAGCAGCTGATGTGGGAGGAAATGGTGTGTTTTATTTGCACACGGGCGTGCGTGCGCACATAGGGACAGTGGAGGGGCGTGAAAAAGCTGAGAGCCTGTTGTTGGAAAAAATACCAAGACTGAAGTAGAAGGATGGCTGATGCTGACCAGTATTGGGCTCATGTTGCGGGGAGGAAAGAGGATGGATTATTCGGTGGTAATCGGAAAGTGGGGTGTGTGAATGAGGAATCTTGCCTCCTACTTGCAAGCATGAACACAGAGGAGGAAAGATGGGGGGTGTGGATGTCCGCCTTTCAGAGGCTGCTGTGCCTGGGAGGATTGCTGCTAGCATCTTGAACATCACTCAGTGCAAAGGTGGAGACAGGGAGATGAAAGCCATCATGGGGAGTGCAGTTGCCCGTCTGCAGGAGTGGGAATGAATGGGAACAATTAATATATTCCCATATTCTTTGGCTGTTGCAGTCTACAAATCTCAAAGGGAAAAGGAGGTGAATAGTGTGATGTGCTTTCAAAGAGGTGTGCTTGGGGTTCACCTGCCTGCAGAGACTTTCAATTCTCCGATGCATGTGTAGAGGGTGGATGATAATGCAGCAGCAGTGGACAGATTGTGCTGCAGCTTTTCAATATATTATATAAAATGCATTTAAATAAATATTTTAATTTTTCAGATTCTTCAGCTTTTAAAAATGTGTTCTTTCCAAAGATTCTCAAACAGTTATGTGACAATCTTAGGAAAACTAGTTTCTGGTACGTAAAAGAGGAATTTTTCTTGATGTTGGCCTTAAGCATCACCATGAAGCAGCATTGTCAGGAGCGAATTGACTTATCTTGGATTTATTTTTCTAAAGATGTCAGTTCTTTTCTCTATCACCATGTGATACATTCATCATCCATACATATTTCCTTAGTATTTTCTTTAGATGATCATCATGCTGGTATCTTTGTGTGGAAAAAAAAAATCACTTGTGCATTATGCTCGAAACAGCTGTGAACTGTTTGCGGACCTGCTCTCCCTATGACATAGAAAGTCCTATTTCTGGGGTGTTTCAAATACTGCTCTCATTAAGATGAGACAGAGACCTCCATGACAGTGTATGATGGATTACATGATGGGTCATGTGCTGGACAACTGTTCATTAGCTGTTTAACTGGTCTGCTCTCTAAGATTGACTTTATAATTCAGATTTGCCTTGAGGTGTCTCCGGAAGGAGATAACTTGCAAGCAACTGCCAACCATTCTTAGGTCTTCACTGTCCTGAAATGCATCCTTCCAGGCGTTCTAGAAATTGTTGTAATGGTAGAGATGATTAGTTTATTGAAAATGGGTTCTTAGTTTCAAGCCTAAGCTAATTTATGATGAAAAGGAAGTCAAAATACCTTTTCCAGCTTGAGTAGCACTGCTCTGAGAATGAGTATTAAGGGATAAGCATTAACGGTGTTGTTAATGTTACTCGTAGTGAGGCGAGTGCTTGGAGCAGTGTTTTTCCTAGTTCTCCATTTCCCATGGTGGTTGTGACTGTCAGTCTCTTGCTTGTTCCTTCTCATTTCCCTGGGATTTTTATTGTCAGTATCTCAGCTGTAGGGATTAAACATGCCTAGAGGTGTGCTAAAACTAAGGTTAGGTTTTACCTCTCTGTTAACCACTGAAATCTGTGGAGTTCGTGTTGCCTGCACAGTGCTGTAACTGAGAGTGTGAGCCAAGATCTAAAAACGGGGTGATTCTGGGAGGGGCTGCTGGTAATAATTGTTCCACTAACTTGTTTCCCAGATCCCGCTGTAGGCAGTGGGAGTGTGCTGCAACATCAGATCACAGGTTGAACAGGTGAAATGGCTAAATCACGCTGATCCTTGATTCTATAAACATCTGGGATTCCATTCATCATTCCCATAGGAAGACACAACCTAGATTTTTTTAATTTACAAAAGCAGTGAGTAGTTGCATCCTGAACGAAAAGAATACTGAACTTTTTTTTTTTTTGCATACTAGATACCTTTCATCTTTCACATGTATCAATAATATATAAATCTGGTTTCTTGTTTCATCTTAAGAGAAATACATCATTGTGAAAAGCATAAAGAAACTAGTCTATTTTTCTCCTACTTCTGGGTGTTGAAGACAGAAGAATGAGTAAATGAGCCATGGAGACCAATTCCTGGAGGGAGAGGGCGGTCTCTAATCTTCTCTGTGAAGAGAACAGCCCCTTGAAGGCAAAAAGAGTGGTCTTCAGAGAAGATTTCCAGATCTCTCTAGACAGCTGTTCTGATTGGCTGAATTCCCTGTTATTTCAATAAAACATATTCATATATGATGTAAAGTCAGAAAGGAGCACAGTGAGTGCTTTTGTTAGAACAGCTGCTAGAGGTGTTCTGCAGATTGAAGGAATGTGGGAGGAAATAGGTTTGTATGTGCTGGGGAGGGAAGGAAGCTGCTGTGTGATTGCTGGAGTAAAGCCTGGTTTAAGCAGTGTAAGGGTGCCACAGCTGAGAGTTGAGGTGAGCTTTCATTCCCTCTGTAAATTGCAAGGAATCTGTTCATGCAGTGTGTTCCTGAAGCAATTGTGGCAGTGCCTGCTTGGCTGATGTGACACACAGTTCGATTTTTATCACAGACCTTTTACTTTGATGCCATCCTTTTTCCCCTCTCCCAGTCTGTTACATGCAGTTAAGTTTATGATTACTTTTTGCCTTTGAATTACTTAAATCCTTGAAGTAGTTATTGAAAGATTGTACTTATTTTGACTGTAGTATCTTTGAGTGAAAAGTGCACTTGAAGTGGCCATCTTGAAGTTATTTAAACATCTGCTCTTCCCCTTATATATACCATAGTTACTTTGCAATAGATGCTCTCATGGATTAGGAAGTATTCTCTGCACACCCAGCATTGTCTGAGGCTGTGTCTTTTAGATTGAAATGGGTGGAGTTGGTTTTCAGGGAAGAATTCTGGCAATAATATCCAACTTCAGAGCTTAATGCTTTTGTGCATCTGACTGTGAGGCCAGCTTTCCTCCTACAAACCATTTTCTTGAGAATGTGGGAGGGATTTTTAAGATGTTTGGGTTAATAGGGTAAATTGCAAGTTTTGTTATGTGAGATTTCTTACACAATCAGATAGATTATAAGGTGAGGCTGAAATGGATGAATATATTCTGTTTTTAGGAGCAGAATGTTAGTGTGAAAAAGGAATTCTTTTGGATAGGGAAAAAAAATACAGTATTGGGTTGGAGGTGAAGGATCCATGAGTTAGGATTACTAGTTTTGGTCTCTGCTGCTGGCTTGTGGCTTGTTCTAAAGTGAGCTTCTCAGTCTTTACTTGCAGATGTGAGATTATTACTTGCCTTTCTTATGATAAAATGGTAGTTTTCGTATGTACATTTATAAAACCATTAAGATTTTGAGCAAATGAGATGTAGTATTAGGATAGAGATTAATAGCCATACCCAAGGTATTTTTATACACCTGCTGGTTTAATATCCTCATTGATATATGTGGATGGCCCTTCTTGACAAAGTTGTAACTTCTTTCAAAAGTAGAAGATGAAGGAGAAGGATGTACCTTTTTTTTTTTTTTTTCGATCCTTTGCTGCTTTTTAAGAAATTAAGTGCTGAAGTGGCAATCAGGGAGAGGTGATGGTGTGTTTAAGGAGGTGGACGTGGGGCCACGTAGAGAAGAGGTTTGAGAAAAATTGAAGCAGTTTGGCAAAGAAAGCAAAAATGGGGAGAAAATACTTGGTTCTTGTATCAGCGTTAGACCAGTACTGAGGGGGAAAAACCCTCAAACCACAAAAACCCAAACTAAAACCCCAAGCAGGCAGAAAATAGGTGATGGTTTCTAATTTATGTTTGTTTGTTTGTTTTTTTAACTCGGAGGAAGCGTGTGCGGTGTGTTTTTGCGTGCCCTCGGCGTTCTCCCGCTGTTGCGTGGGATGCGCCCGTCCGGGCCGGGGGCAGGGGCGGCAGGGGGCGCTGCTCGGCCTCGCCAGCCCCGCCGCAAATGGCAGCGCTGCGGGGCAGTGCCCGGGGCCGCCGCGCTCGGCCTGCCAAACACGCTCTGTCCCGCTGCCCAGCCCAGGCTGTTGTTGCAGGAAGTGCCCTGTAAACTGCCGCGTCCAGACATCCATTGTTGAGGGAGACACAAGTGGGGCACGACCTGGTAGATGTCAGCCATTGCTAGCCCAAGCTTCATCTTGCCCTCTTCGCTTCGAGCTGCTTTGAAGAACAAAGAGGTTCTTTGAGAGATCAAAAGATACTCCTTATAACCTCCCACACCCATTTTTCTGCAGGGAGCAAACACTCTTTTTCCTGCTTTACGTTGAACATCTTGAATGCATTCAAGGACTGGTCTGGATCTGTGATCGTCTTTCCCTAGCTTCTGCCTTTGTCCAGTCTTACAGCATGAAGAACTGTAGTCTTTGGCTTTATTGTTGAACCTCATTTACCAAATCAAGGGGAAAAAAAAAAAGTCACAGTCTTTGCACAGTCTTTGTTACTATGGTTCTCAGTACCAGGAATAAATATGTCCACTTAATTTTTTTTTTTATTAAGTAAAAGCTGTTCTAGTAAAAAAAAATAGTTTTTTAATGCTAAGAAAGTCTAGCTCGTTCATATGGTTGTAACTAAACAATCCTTTTGTCCCAAGACCTGCTGCAGAAACTAAAAATCTTTGTAACATGAAGTGATTAAAATTATATACTAAAGGTATATTTGAATTTAAATTGTCTGCTGGCAGCAGTCATTAGGACTAAGAGGCAAAACTCCTTTTCCTGTCTCAGAGTTCAGTTCTGCTAGGAACTCATGTCAGTTACATTGGTGAAAGTGATGATTTTTGCATCTTTATTTTAATAGGAAAGTTTAAAGGTGACACAGAAAACTGTTCTGGTTTTTTCTAGAATTCATGTTCCCTACACCATGCTTGTCTTTCTTGAGCATAAAGGAGTAGTCTATTAATGTACCTGTGACTGGTTTACAGCTTTTAAAACATTTCAGTGAAAATATATTCAGTCAAAAATAGCCCCAGTCCTCTGTATTCAAAGCAGAAGGAGCAGTACTTCGCTATTATCAGTTCTAACCCTACTGAAATTCTTAAATTTGAACTGTTTTATCTTCTTGGTCCTGAATTCATTAGTGCTGTTTATGTATAAAGATGATTTAAAAAAATTGATTTGAAGCAAGAAAGGGCTACCACTGAAATTCTGGCCTTGATTTTGCTTTATTTTACATGCGTTAATGTTCTGTATTTCGTTGGTGCTCCTTGTTCCATTGGTTTTTCCATTATTATGTGTTCTGGATACTTCCTAATATATTTCTAAGTGTATCTCACAGCAGATGTGAAATATTTGTGAGAGCAAAACTGTAGTTACTTGGAAGACTTTGTGGTAATGAATTTCTGTTCTTCTGGTCTGCATTTTTAACATAAAGAGTTTGTCACCCTTATCCATATGTGGTGAAAAGAGACAATCAAGTCTGTCACTGGGTATTTTAGCAGTACCTAGGAGAAGGGTGGAGTTATTTCAGTTGAAGAATTAACCTGATCATGAAGTTGAAATTCTGGCCTTCAGACACAGCCATTCAAATTGTTTTCATTTCTTTGTATGCTTTTTAGTACTGTAATGAAAGAGGAATGCTACTGCCAGTACCAGTAGTTGCATCTTTGTGTACTTGAGGAGAAAGCTGGGATGAGGACCAAGACCTAATTTCTAGCATTTAACATTCCATAGAATGTAAATGGATTTGTTTCTGTTGGTACTTTTGGTTGCAGAGTAGGTGTAGACATTATTTTGCTTCTTGGAATTTGGAAGTTGCAGTCTGTTGAAATGGACTGACTTGTGCAGAGGAAGTGGGACTTAGTACAGCGGGGATCATGAAGATAAGAGCCTATGTACTCTAACAGAGTCTCATCTTCTCCACTGTCTAGCAGTTCTGTTGGAAGAAGACCTTGGAGGTTGCAAGACAAGTCCAAGATGTGCAGTTCAGTTGCTCCCAGGCTGTGGTTCTTAACAGACCGTCGCATCAGAGAAGATTACCCTCAGCAGGAGATCCTGAGAGCACTTAAGGCCAAGTGCTGTGAAGAGGAGCTGGATTTCCGGGCCTTGGTGATGGATGAAGTGGTGCTGACCATTGAGGATGGAAATCTTGGTGAGAATGAGCTAAGGCTGGGAGTGTGCTGAAGGGGTGCTTGGGAAAAGATTGTAAAATGGAGCATACTATTTAATAATGAATTCCATGTATGCCAGACTACCTACCATTCATCATCTAAATCATGTAGATGTACATAATACCATTTTTTTAGAATTTATTATGTTAATCAAATATAATTGTTCAGTTTGCTAATTTGCATTAGAACCACTTTTGCTGTCCCTCTGCAAAAAAGAGAGGAGGGTTGTTTCATTTTGGTGAGTCCAGGATAAGGACTACAGGACCCCTGAATTAATAAGGAATCACGGAGTTTGATTTTTGCTTCAGTACTTGAACTTTCTGGGTCACGCTTAAGAGTTTCAGAGGGACTTTTTTCTTCTGTTGTTTTCTGGCTCCAAAGTAGAAAACACCAGAAATAATCTGAAAGGAATTTTCAATGAACAGTACAAAGTGTTGGAACTAGAGGTTATGATGTGATGTAACTAAAGCACACTGCTGTACAGATGTGGAGTTAGGTGAATTCCAAAAAAGAACAGTGCTGATAAAGTATGTGCATCAAATAATTTGAGGTATTACTACAATTTACAGTGAATTAAACTAATTTACAGTATTTAAGTCTAAATGGTGAGATTTCTGTTCTGTTTTCCTACTAACTTTTTTTTCCCTGTGGTGATTAAAAAGGAAACGTAAAATGTTAAGTTGCATTAGAAATGTTAAGTAAAAGGATTCTGTAGATAGTAGGCTTATCTGATAGGAAAATACTAATACCACCAGTGTCAAGCTGTGTAACTCTTACAATTTTGTTCCAACATCTTTTAATTTGGATTTCCTAAAGCAAGGAGACTGCAGTGTTTTGTTTTTTTTTTACCCATGGCTCTTTCATTCCTCTTCCCCATTTATCAGTCAAAAAAATGTATTGCTGGAGACCCAGGGAAGAATTACATTTCTGAAAGTTGTATTAGGGTAATTCTGTTCAGGAAGAAAATATGAAAGTACCCTCAGCCATGAAGAAGAGGCTGCCATGTATACCTTGTTCCTCTTTGGGAAATCATATGTAGGAAAGGAATCATAAAACTGACTCTGGGGAAGAACTTTGGTCAGAATTTATACCCTATTTTTGCATGAATCAATCAAGTATAAAATTTTTACTACATGGATGGTAAAAACAGTATTTTTTAATCTGGTATTTCTAAACTTCTGTTTACCTATTTTGTCTTTTAATCTGAGGAGTCTTACGATTTTTATCACAGATTGAAATTCTGTGGGATGTCTTCAGATCAAGGTAACTTCTTGTCAGAAAGTCTGAGATCTGAACATGCTTTCCTCTGGACAGTGTGTAATGGGAACACAGCCATCCTGGACTGTAGCTGCAGTCTCTGGGATGCATAATTAGTCCTTCAGCATTTAAGTACTGTTTTTATTTCTTGGTGATTTTTTCTTTTCTGTCTTCTGTCTCTTTTTTGGGGAATTAAATAGGGCAAGTGTAAATTTTGGACCCTTCTGCTCTTTTCTGTCTAATGTCTCCTAGCACTATGTCTATTGCAAGGGAAAAGATAAAAGTAATACAAGTTGGAAAACTAATATTGAAGAAGGTGTAGTACAAGAACAAGAAAAATTAAGAAAATTACTGGAAAAAAATGCAAGAAAAGGGAAATTATTCTCATACAAAGTGTTCGTTCAATATGATGTAAACAACATCATTTGAAAAGGAGTGAGATAAAAGTGCTGGAAGATTGTGGATAGAAATTTTGTTATAAGTAGTCTGGTGTGTCTAATTGTGGTTTTTTTTTTTCTTTCTGAGGGGTTGGAATTGTCTTGTATAAAACAATTCTTTCTCTTGGAGAGCAGTGAAAAATCTTCCCTCTTAATTTTCCAGTTGTGTTTTTTGTAGAGCTTTTGAACATGATTTGATAAAGATTTCTGCTGGAGGACACATGCAAAAGCTTTGTATTTCATTTTCCTTTTTAAAAACCTCAGCTGGCCTAGGAAAAGGTGTCCTGGAACAAAATCCAGGAGCTAGCGCATTCTGTACCATTTTCTGTTATCTACTGTGTGAGGGATCCAGGTTGAGTAAAATTTTCTATGACATAGAGGAGTTGATGAAGAGAATGTATCTTCAGTGGATAATAATGTGTGCTTTTGCATCCTTTTCTGTCATTATTTGTCTTGAAAGCTTGGCAATTCAAGGCTCAGACTCTGAAGGTAATGTATGATATTGGAGGAAGTAATAGTTGGGTTTTTTCCCCACATATTCACACTTAGGTTAGAGCTTTTTTTGTCCATTAAAACCATGGCAATTTCTTAAGAAAATTGTTAGAATAATGTTAAATTTACACAGTCAAGCTGGATATTGCTGGATGCTATTTAAAATTTAAAAGCCGTGGTATTTCTGTAGATGATAGAGTCAGTAATCCTTCTTGTGGACTTGCTGACTGTCAGGAACATGGCTGGAGACTTCAGAGACCAAAAATTCAGCATAAGAGCTAAAAAATTATTTACTTCACAGGGGTAGAGTGGAAAAGACACTTCTAAATTTAGGAAAATTGAGCAGATCTGTGGGATACATACATGTGAAAATTGTGTTCCAGAAACCACATGGCTTATACCTTGCAGTAGAGCACAGTGATGCAGGTATTGCTGAAGCCCAGCCCAAGGACAGATGCATAAAGATTTTGTGAGGCTGAGATTTACAAAATTTATGTCTGTCAGAAATGATAACATTTGCCATGGCCAAAGGGAGAGGGGGAGGAGGTGGGGTCCACTCAGTGGACTCAGCAGCAGTCACTCCTTGGGGCGGATCTCTGCTGTACTGCAGGGCTGGATGGGAAGTGTGGCTGGATTCCCAAGGCAAACTAACACTGTAAGCCCAGCAATCCTTGCTGGTTCCTTTTATTTCACAGCTAAAACTCAGGATGACCCAAAATGCCAAGCACCCCACACAGTCACAGTGTGACTGACCACATGATGAACTTGCATGCAGCTCAAGATGCACATTAGATACCTCAACCCAGCATGAATCCAGAAGTGATTGTAAATGCAAGTTAAAAGATGTAGAATTAGTGTTTCTTTTTTAGTCTAGGAGGGAATTCTTAAACTGATTTATGCTTAAACAGTTTTGGAAATAAGTTCAACAAGTATTTTTTGAAATGAACTATGGTTTATGCCTTACTTGAATAGGTGTTTGCTTACCCAAGCCATGCACTCCTTTTTCTTTTCCACGGTGGCAGTAGTACTCTGTAGATTTCCAAGGCAAAAGCTGAGAAAAAATAAGTGGAAAAGTAGAGCTGTATAAATTAATTTTTTCTGCTCCTATGGTGGGCTGAACCTGCTGAGGTGGTTACTGAATCAGACACACACAACATTGTAGCACAGGCATGGGCAAGAGTGCCTGTGTGGAAAAATATGGAGGGTGGTAACTGAGCTGTTTTGATTTAAACTTGTGCTGTGTAGCTGCAGCCTAAGTTTCTTAAGAGTTAAATTCTTGAACCTAAACCAGTCTAGGACAATCTGCTGCTGAATGGAGCAGCCTGTCCCTTTCCAGCATTGCTATTGCTGCTTGCCGTGTAAAGGACTTCATGTTTCTCTTGACTTGCTTTCATGTTGTACCTCAGCTAATTAAAAAAAATAAAGGTTTACCAAATTGTCTGCTACTTTGCAGAATCTGGCATTTGTGTGAGTTGGGTTGGCCAATCCAATGGAAGACTAACTCCACCAAATAATTAACAGTTTTCTGTTGGAATAGATTGCTTTACCAAGCCTTTTTGTGGTCACACAATTCCTATCTCTGGTACACAGGTGAGGAAGAATGGGATTGTTCTTTCAAGGAATGGCTTGTATTTATGTGATTTAGTTATACCTCCAGAAATATTCAGAACAGGAATTTTCTTGTGGTTGGGATGTCTGATAGTGTCAGCTTTAGGATTATTTTGTTTGTGCATGGCATCTGGTATTTACTGCTGTAAGGATTACAAATTGGAATGTCTAGTTTTCTATCTAGTTTGGCAATTCCTATATTCATTTGAAATACATAGCAAGTAATGTAACAAAACTCTGCAGGACATTTTTTAAACGTTTATCTGAAGTCTTAGCAGTGAGTTCTGTCAAAATGTGTACTTTTGAACTATAGGAGGGACTTTGTGGACAAGAGACAAAACATACCCATGGATTGTCTCCTTATTCTGAATATTCTTTCTTCTTCCCTGTGTCTAGGATTGAGTAGTAGCTTTCCCCACAGACTGCATGCCTTACCTGTAGGGCAAAACAGTTCAATAACTATTCCTTGGTAAGAAAATGTTAGGAAAATTTGGATCCTTCCCTCATTAAAATGATATACAATAATATTTTAATTAAATTTTTTTTTGCTACCAGAACAGAAGAAAATAGAATTCACGGAGTCAGTAATTTGCCAATACCTTTATTGTAGGTTTTTTGGAAATTCCATATTTTCTGATACTGTCCTGTGAAGGAAAATAGTTTTAAGGAAAGTTGCTTTCATGAACTTTGAACTGTTGAAGATGCTGGAGTGACTGAAGTATAAAACAAAGTATTAACTTTTCCTAAGACTTTCTTGGCTTTTCCTTTGGGAATGTGTGGTCAGCTTAGGTGAGGAATAAAAAGGGCATAATAGTCATGTATTCTAAAACTGTAATTGTGCACAGTCAGCTGGCTTTTCTTAAGTCAGGTGGGTAGCATCCGGAAACAGATCTCTTAATTTTTATTTTTTCTCTCACTTTATTTTTTCTGCAGAGGAAGTACTTAGAAGATAGATTATTTTAATTTGGTTGGTGTGCTGTTTTAGGTATCTGGGTTTCCAGTGTGGGCCTGAACTTTGCATTAGAAGGCAGTGTCTTGTTTAAGTCTCTCATCTTGAACGATGTGATTTTGTTTCATATGATCTGTCCTTCATTTCTTATTTAATTTGAACTAGTAATGAGTAGTTGTGATCTTTGATTTTTTTTTTTCTCACACTGGATTAGACATAATTTGAAATAAACATTGGA